CACATAGACTCTTAGGGCAGAGCTGATGTTCAAGCTCCTATGAAACCCTAAACCCCAAACCCTAAACCCTAAAACCCTAAACCCTAAACCCTAAAACCCCAAACCCTAAACCCTCAAACCCTAAAACCTAAAACCCTAAAACCCTAAACCCTAAACCCTAAAACCCTAAACCACAGCTTTTGCGGGCTCGTCGGTGTGGCGCACCTAGAGAGTCCCAAAAAACCTCAATGAAGGAATATACCTTAATTTATAATCGGAGGCCTAATATGATTTTAGGTATATTCCTCAATTAGAGGGTTTTGGGGTATTAAGGCAGTCGGGTTCATTCGGGTTTAAGGCTTAGCGGTTTAGTGGTTTAGGGGTTTAGGGTGTAGGGGTTTTAGGGTTTAGGGGTTTAGGATTTTGGGCTTTGAGGGTTTTAGGGGTGGTTCTGCATTACGGTGCAAAGTGCGGCTCAAACCCTAAACCCTAAACCCCAAACGTGGGATTCCCCCGAATCCGCAACACCTAAATCCTTGAATCCCGGACGTGTGGGCAAAGGCAGCAACTGAGCCCCAAGTGGACTTAGGGTTTAGGGTTTTGGTTTTAGGGTTTAGGGGTTTAGGGTTTAGGGTTTAGGGTTTACGGGACAAGGCAAAATCTCAGAAAGGCTCGCCGCGCACATGTGCCGGTCGTGCAGTCCAGAGGGTTTGGTTAGGGTTTAGGGCTTAGGGTTTAGATGTTTGGGCTTTAAGGGTTTAGAAGTTCGGGTTCAGAGTTTAGGGTTTAGGGTGTAGATGCTTGGGCTGTTAAGGGTTTAGAAGTTCGGGTTCAGGGTTTAGGGTTCAGGGTTAGATTAGGGTTAGCGTTAAGCCCTACTTCCTCAACCATAAACCTGAACCTAGGTGTTTAGGACCCCCTATTTCGGTCGAAACAAGCTTTAACCCCCAAACACTCATAAACACCCAAATTCCTAAACTCAAAACCCTAAACCCCCCAAAGCCTAAGAGCTCTCTAAATCCTAAACCCTAAACCCTAAACCCTAAACCCTAAACCCTAAGCCCCAAGGCGGGAGAAAACTCATGCGAGAGACCTCCTGCGGTCTTGTCCCGGGCCACCATCCTCGCGCTAGGGTTCGGGTTTAGGATTTAGGGTTTAGGGTTCGGGTTTAGGATTTAGGATTTAGGGTTTAGGGTTTAGGGTTTAGGGTTTAGGGTTCAGTGTTTAGGGTTTAGGGTTTAGGGTTTAGGGTTTAGGGCGTTTAAGGTTTAGGGTCTAGGGCTTAGGGCGTTTAAGGTTTAGGGGTTCGGGTTGGGGGTCGCTGCTTCTTGGGGTCTAGGGCTTAGCGTTTGGGATTAAGGCTCTGGGTTCAGGGTAAGGCTTGAACAAAAATCCTAACCCCCAAACCCATGTAGGCTTTGGGCTTAGGGTGCAGGGTAGAGGGCCAGGGTAGGTGAACAGACTGGGAGGCACTTGAATTGAAGGTCCAGGAGCTTAGTGCCCGTCGAAGCTAAGTAGTGCCTTCAGAAATTCTCAGGGCTTAAGGTTTAGGTTTCGGGCTTCGGGCTTAGGGATTACACGGGTTTAGGGTTTTGCGTTT